AAACACCATTTCCCATAGGAATGCATTGAAAACCGGTTAATCCGTTCCAATTGGAACGGATTGCCATCGCTGAGTGAAAATCCCCATAGGAAACATCGCTGTGTGAAACAATGTTTCCTCCATTGGATTGTATTGAAGCCGACTCAATACATTTCAATGGCTTTCAAGTCCTTTTCCACTCCTGTAAAAGTGTCTTACAATGTTTGGAAGCCGTTTTAAATGCTTGCAATGGTTAGCCCACCTCCTGAAACCTATGCAAACTGATTTTGGTGTTGTTCTGACACTTCGTTAATTTATGGTAATTTTTTGTTTTTTCCATTGGAAACCATTAGACAGACCATTCAATGGTTTTCAATGGAGAAAACAAAAAATTACCATAAATTAACGAAGTGTCAGAACAACACCAAAATCAGTTTGCATAGGGTTCAGGAGGTGGGCTAACCATTGCAAGCATTTAAAACGGCTTCCAAATATTGTAAGACACTTACAGGAACGAAAAAGAGACATTGTTGTGTGAAAATCCCCCATAGGAAACATCGCTGTGTGAGGCGGCAAATTTAACAGAAAAAGGCATCGTTGTGTGAATTCATCGTTGTGTGAGGCACCCGTTGTGCGAGGCACCACTGTATACCATAAGAACATGTACTATTTGACACACCTATTTGGCTGTAAACATATAACTTGGGAGTTATCCTGGCACAACTCAGTGGGACATACTTCTAAGGACAGATGTAGATGTTTGCTCATTTTGTTTTTGCCACTAATAAAAAGAAACTAGATGTTTTCTCCCTGCTAGGCAAGATTATGAGAAATTTTTGCACATTACTTCTGATTTAGTCCTTTTTGGCAAAAATTCATGGAAATGATTTTGTATGAAAAGCTTGCCTTTAGTGTTGATGTCAAGGAAAAAAGTATGATAATTTTACAATGTCCTTAGACGCCTAGAAAACTTTATAACACTTCTTGGTAGTTTGAGTCTATGGTGGTCACAGCTAACATTTATTTTTGAAAGGATTAATACTAGTGTGAACCAGATAATCCTGAGAATCATGTCACAATTCATCTAGATATCAAGGTATAAGTCATTTACTTGCTGCTGCTTGGCTCACTAGAAGCACAGTTTCCGAACTTGATCCATCTTACTTCAGAGGATGAGAATAAACCACGGTTTTCACTCATGGTGAAGTAAACAGAAAAAATGGTGCCAGGCAAAATTAGCTTGTCTAAGACTACTAGCTTTTTTCATTTACATTTTTCTGTTCACAAAAATCTAGATGTTATTGAAAACATAACTTTTTATGTTTGAAAACTCAAACATAAATTTAAAAAAATCAAAGACAGGTGGCCTTTAATATAAGCTCTGAACAAAAGTTGTAGGTACAAATGCTTAAAAGTATATTAAGACAATGTAAGTTTTAGGCAAGTACTCAGAAAAATGTTTCAATTATAAGCTTTTAGCTATGAAAGTTTCAGACAAGAATGACTTAGACAAGTAAAGATCCATAAACATGGAAGTACATTTCTTAATCTTATATTTAGACACAAAAAAACCAACAAGTTTGCTATGTGCTCACTCAGCTACCTGTCAGTTAAAATCTCTGGAGGGAAATCCATGATTTTTGTGTGTTGCCTCTGTGCTGCTGTCTCTAAATGCTGCTGATTCATTATGTGTTTCCACCATCTGGCTTTTCAGTTCAACTTGGCATTGCTTAATTGTGGCTCAGCTGGCTTAGCTGATCCTGTGCTGACTGGCATCTTGCTTACAGGCAGGGGATGTTTATATGTTCTTACCATTGTTTACTCCTAAACTACAGATTGCATAATAGCAGGCTAATGCAGAATCTCATAGACTCTACTACAGAAGCAAAAGTTTGCTAATTACGGAAACAAAAACATTTCCCCTTATCTTCTTATTCTAACACTGCAGATTGAATGTGTTTTTACATAGGTTGTGCATGGATAGGGATTTTCATTCATTTAACATTGCTGTTTGCATGGCAGGCATAGAGAAACAATCAAAAAGTTAGGAAAATGCATGGGATTAGATAGGATTTTCTTAATTACTCTGCATTGATCTCTAATGGACATTCAGTACATTACTCTTAAGCAGTTAACTTCTGCATCACAACTCATTTTTAATGTTATATCTGTTTGTCTAGAGGTAGCCTCCATCAGTTCAGTGCTCCATGTTATAATCACATCTCACATTTCCATGGTTACATTTCTTATACCATTTTAATCAGGTAATACTTTATTTATACATTTCAGATTTTGATTGTGTCCCCCCCTCGTCAGGTGGGGATGGTTGCTTATAGGTTTTCCTTAGTCTTCAATAGTCCAGTTTGGCAATCTTGACATTGCTGTTGCAGATGAAATGCATGAATGTTTTTGCTCTACAGAAACAAAAAAAGTGTAGTTGGCTTTTTTTAAATCGATATATCTTGGCTGAGGCCAAGAAATTTTTTTAGTACTTTTATAGTTAAAAAGGAAACCTTTACATGCATTATTCTCCTTCTGCCTTCTGTAAGTTGCTTTTAAAATGCTTATAGAACTGCTGGATAGCTCAGTGGTTTAGGCATTTGGCTGCAGAGTCAGAGACTGAGAGTTCAGTTCCTCACTGTGTCTCCTTGACAAGGGTTGGACTTGATGATCCATAGGGTCCTTTCCAGCCCTGCAGTTCTAAGGTTATTATATTTTAGATATATCAGAACTTCTTAGAATATCCATTCATTCTATGATAACTATAAAAAGTCACTTAGAATATTAACCTTACAGTGGTGCCTCGCTTAGCGATCGCTCCGTTGAGCGACGAAATCGCTTAGCGATAGACTTTTTGCCATCGCAAAAACGATCGCTTAGCGATGGTCCCTTTAGGGAAAATTCACTTTGCGATGATCGCGGGGACGCGATCATGGCAAAGTGACCCTTTTTTAACAGCTGTTCAGCGGTTTCAAAATGGCTGCTGGAAAAACATAATGGCCACCCTGCTGTTTTGCCTCACTTAAGAGGCAGTGAAAATGGCGGCGCTATGGAGGATTTTCGCTGAAAGGTAAGTTTTGAAGCCCATAGGAACGCATTAAACGCGTTTTAATGCGTTTCTATGGGCTTTAAAAACCGCTTAGCGATGAAAGCGCTTAGTAACGTTGCTAAGCGAGGCACCACTGTATTTGGTTATATGTCACCCAGTTGTAATTCCTTCATGTGTGGCCATTTGAAGATTATTAAAACATTTATGGCACAGGTAGTTTCAATTAGCTAAATATGTGGAATATACATTCTTTCATAAAAGAATGCCTCAAGTCATGTTCCCATCTTCCTTTTGCAGTTTCCTGTGCATTATAGAGATTAGCTGAGGAGCTACTGATACTGAACTCTACCTCTGTCATAAACACTGCTGTACTGCAAAAGTTATTATTTTTTAAAAAAATAATAACTTTTGATGCAAAAGTTGCTGTAAAGATGTTAACCCTTCTTCTCTCCCCTCCCCACACAGAGCAAGCATGAGTTCTAGATACCTGCTGGATCTCCCTTTCTTTTCTTGTGTGGATGTCCACTTCTTTTGGACTCTGGAATGAGCAGTTATCCGTGCATGTGCTATGTTTTGGATCCAAATTCCTTTCCCCCTGTACCAGTGATATTACTAAATCAATGATAATTTTTTTCTGTTTATTTTAAAACCACCCTTTTTAGAAAATGACATATTTTCTTTGTCTGTAAATATTTGTAATCTCCCCTGCCCCCAAATAACTACAGTTACCCATCTGCAGCAGTGGTAAGTCATCTACCCAAGTAAAGTTGGTCTATTGAGAGAAGCAAATATATTCCTTACACTTCATCAGTCAAAAATAAATGCAGTGCTGTTTCTGACCATTACATTCTCATAATGACTATTGTAGTGCTGTGATTACAGTTAACAGTTTCTCATACCTCATTGGATAGCTCTAGATATATCCCAGCCTAAGCATTGGTGCAAAAGATCTATAATAGTGGTGTTAATATGTTTCACTTATTTGTGTTGTGTTAATCTTGCTAGGGTGTTGGGATTGCTGTGGTCTGTGCATTCTACAATTCCTTTAAAGTCAAAAGTAAATTAAGGGACACATACATTATCTTAAAGCACTAAACTAAGCCTTTGAGTAGAGCAGATGAAAAAGGCAATGAATATTAGTAATTCCATTGGTAAAAATGAAATAGAATTTTAACTTCAGGATACACAATCCAGTGCCCTAGCCGGTATGGCCAGTGGCAGGAATGCTGATTAGCAGTTGCTCTTCAAGGTTTTGGACAAAGACCTTTCCCAAGCTGATCTTTGTGGTCCATTAAATTAAGAGATTGTGTTCTGTTTGGGTCATTTATCACTGAGTTTTGGACTCTTCCCTGTATTTATCACACTTTGTGAGTAGCGGTGATGGCAGTATTAAATCTCTAATTGAAAGGTCGAAATAGATTATGTGTTGTCTCAGTTTTTTCAAACATCAGTTTTAACCCAGTTGACCTTCCATCCCTCTAAGGTTTCCATCCATCTAAGCTTCTGAAAAAAAGTAATAGTTGAAGCGTAATGCAAAATATCATTTTAAATTTAAATTACTATAGAAAATTTTGTTTTATCTCAAATTCTCAGAATGTTATTAATACTCATATGAGCATGTCATTTAGATACATCTTATTCACATTTGTGTGTTGTTAAATTGCCTTGTGTCTAAAGCTACCATTTCTCAGGTATTGACATTTTAAAATTTGTATTATTGTGGCAAGGTTGCCTGATTTTTTCCCCCTTTAATTAAGTCAGTAAATGTTCTTCTGTGTTGCGTAGTTAATTCACCCAGACTGCTGAATGTGATTCCTTTGCTCCTGGACTTGTATGGAATGTATTTTCATTTGTCTTTTATATGTACACTTTTTAATGCAGAAGCTTAAGTACCATTATTGACCAGTTTATATTATATTCATAATTATTGATTTCCCCCTAATCTATTACCATGTAACTTTCTCTCTCATAGCCTCAAGTACTACAGCCTTCCAGCCTCCTTCCCCGTTTCACAGACATCGCCCAGGGAAAACTAATAAAAATGTCACCCATCGTGGCCCGCAGTGAACATCCCAGTCAAGACCAACAGATAATGGATGGCCGTGAATATCAAAATGCTGCAGATGGCTCCGGCACCAATAACCTAAATGAACTGAGCACTTTAAATACACAATTATATGAAGGGAAGTCAGAGAAGAATGCAAATTCCACCAAGAATGTAAAAGGTGGAGAGAAATCTAAAGATCTGACCAGTAGAAAATTCAATACATTGCAGTCTCACCTCTCTTCTTCCAAATCATCTGCCCATCTGACTACGCAAGAAATGCCGACCAAATTAGTTCTGAAGAACAGTTGCTCGCGGACAAACCAGGCATCACCGCCAAAGACTTCAAGAGCTGCAAAACCCCCAAAGCAGAACGCATTAGTGCCTCCTCCGGTAAGTGTTGCAGCAGCAGCAGCAACAGTAGCAGCAACAGCTCCAGATGGCTCGTTTGTTTCAAAGGAGCCTGACATTTTGCCATCCAGTGACCCAGCACCGCTGCAGTCAGCACCCAGTCAGTCTGAGATGAATAGCAAGAGCCGGAGAACTTCTAAACTTCGTCCCCCAACAGTTTCCTTTAGGCCCAAGCAGACGACACATCCAAAAGTCATGATACCTCTTAATCATCAGAACACCTGCTCACAGACAAACCACTCAAGGCAACTAACACAAGCAAAGGAAAATATGCAGAATGAAGATATAAGTGTTCATTCTGGTGATGGTGTACCTCCTAATCGGCATTCCCGCCTCCCTAAACCAAAGACATATTGAAAGTATGACTTGCACATGCACATTTCAGTGTCCTGTATTGTGAAGCTGCATAATCTCATCCATTCTTATCTCGGTCAGGATTCTTCAGTTAAAGCATATAAGCACTGAATGCTGCATTTCTTCCCCTGGTACCTAACTAGTCTGTTCTCTCATAATTTTGTGCCATCTAGAGACATGTGTCATTCCTTCAAAATATGATTTATAAAAGTCTGTTGATATCCACTGATTGCATTGCTTGTAAGTCCCTTTAAAGATAGCTTGGCTTAATTGTAAAGTTTGCAATGACTACTGGTTGCCAGAGTGCTAGACTATTTGGACAGGTTGCTTGCTGGAATCCTATCTATATTTGTTTGGAACACTGAGTAATAATGGGTGGCTAAGGCTACACTTTTGGTTCTGACTTACTTAATTATACGGGATGAACAAAATATACAGAGCTGGCCTTTTTTTTAATCTTCATCTGCAGCCATAATACTGACTCTGTATCTCAGAGGCCTATGCAAAACACACTTATTTATAACAACAGATGACCCAAAACTTTCTTAAGGATGTATATTTAATGTTTAAACAAGACTTAATTCTTTTTTTCTTTTGCCAGAAGAATCCCAAATTGCTTGTTTGCTTTTTGGATCTATATTCACTGTTCGTTCACAAGTGGCAAACAAAATTTCACAGGGTGAAATGGATCTTAGTTGTATTTAAATGTTAATCTGTTCATACTGTAGATAACCTGTGGAATACATCTGTGTTCCGCAGTTATGATATTATAACTGAAAAACAGTTTGTAGGATATATGTCCAAATCTGTTTTTCATGCAGGCTGTTTTGGAATGGCAAGTGATGTGATTTTGGTAATAATGGATCCATGTTAAAGATTTTCATAGCACTTCTTTCCTTCGGGGGCATTAATGTCATTGTAACATTATTTATTGCTCTCTGTTGCTCTTGTGAGCCTCTAGAAGCCAACTTCAAATGTTTGCACAAACTTTGCTATAAATGTAGGGATTAAAAATTATTTTTCGTAATAAAATATTGATTTTTTTAAAGGGGAACTCCCTTTTTAAGCACACATACACCTTTTTTTAAAATGTAGAACCTTAAGAATTGGCATTCAGTCTTTTGGAAATTGAGGCGGGAAGTGATTGTTAATAAGAAACACTCTGATAGATATTCTGCATCGGAATACATGTAGTCAGATATTTATGGCACTGTGAAGAATCGATCTGTATCCAAATCTTCAATATGTAATGAAATGATTGATGAAAAAAAAATGCATAGCACAGAACCGAAAAAATTATTTGCATGTAAGTTTTATTTCAATACCAACTAGAGAACAGCGGTTAGGAATGCAGTTTCAAGTTTGTGATATATACCATAGGAGTCAGGTTGTGCCCTTTGTTGAATATTAGATCAAACAGTGAGTTTGAAGGAAAATATATCTGGGTGGAAAAATTGAGCCAGAGCATTTGCAGCTTAGATTTTCTTAAGCCAAGTGTAGCTGCCTCCCTCAGAAGGGATGCTAAAGAAACTTAAGTTTATTTGTGATAGGTCTGACCAAGAGCATATTTTACAGTCAACTTTGCATATGTCACATAAAATGTGCAAGGGCATGCAGTGAAACATTCTTGCTTGCTGTTTTCAATGGGGGAATACTTCCCCCATGACAAATCACATTCCTGAAGTGGCATAAAAGTTCAGTTGCTTAATAATATCTATTGATGGGATAACATGAGGACTGAGTTTTTAAATGTTGTACAGTTTTCTGCTTATCTTCTTGTAAACCTTGGGATGTAGATGAGCTGCAAACAAAATTATCACTTCATGCTCTTTAAGAGAGGCTGACTAAACACATCTGGTTTTATATTTGATTTGTCCATATAGTTCAGAACACGAGGCTCGCCTACAAATGTTCCAGTATCATTTAATATTAAAAAAAACAGTTTGTCTTGATAAACATTTTTTGATTCTAGTTGGAGTAAAGATGCAAAGAGGGCTCAATCTTTGAACAACAAAAGATACAATGATCCCATATTTTCATACTGGTTCTCAGTGTTTCTACAGTATTTAATCACTTCTGAAACAATTATTCTTGGTTTATATTTCTGTCTCTTTAGATACAGGAGAAGAGAGTCTCTGTATATGAAATTTCAGAGTTGATTTTGCAAAATCCTATTATTTCATATTTGTCTTCATTGTTAATTCACTTTCAGTCCCACCTTATAGAGACTTGTCAGACAGTGAGAAAGAAAGATTGCCACTTCACAAAAATATGCTTGGATGTCAGAAGGCAAGTTAGTAAGTGTGACATGCTGCTCCTTTTTGAAGAAGCCCCCACTTGCCTAGGACAAACAGTAACACACAATTTTTAAAGCATCTTGCATCACTTTTAAAGCCTACGCTTGTTCCGATTTTTAGGCATAATTAAACAAATTGTTCAATCTTTTCTGGAATTCATATTACTAAAATCATTATTATACTTGTACTCCATAGGGCACTTAGTGAAAAGTAAGCATCAGAGACAGTCATTTTTTCTACTTCTTACATCGACTTAAGTATGGTACTTGATGAAAATAAACTTATTTTCCAAAGGTAATGTTGGCGCACCCTGATTTTTTTTTTTTTAATGTCAGACTGGCAATTAGGCAAAGCTGAGGATAGCAGATTGGCAATTAGTAAGACTGAGATGGGTGGCCTAAATGATGTATGTGTGCTGTCTCAAACATATAAATTTAGGGTCTGGGAGGAAATTGGCTATCATCACATAACTTGAGCAAGTTGTCAGGGATAACTGCCTCTGTACCTCAGACAACTTGACAGCACAAGCTAACACCTGAAGTGATGGCGTTGACCAGTGCCGATTGGTTAATCTTTTTAGGCATGCCAACTTTCCCTGAGAACAACTATCAAAGAAAGTTCCAATGTATGTTTAGAAAGTACAGAGCTCGAGACGAAGCTTTTGTTTTAACTAATGAGAGGTTTGACAGAAGGTTCACTGCTGTTTGTAGAAAGTGCTTTGTGCAATGCCAGGCTTTCAATGAGACTCCAATAGATGGAAGTACAAGTTTCAAGTAATAAGAACAGAATTATTTTAAATGGCTGTAGTAAATAGTTGGGAATTTGATAATACTGTATTTTGGTTTTTTAAAAAACATTTTATCCTTTTGGATTCTTCTACATTATGCAATAATTCTTAAAGTATTTAACTGGTCCTCGAACATCTATAATGAAGATACTGATCTTTTAACGATAGATGCTAAAGTGGAACAAAACTAATGTGCACTTTACACGATGAGCTCCAGTGTTTGGAGTAGTGCCTAAATTTAATCTACATGCCTATGGCTGATTTAGTAAAACAGTGTTCACTGTGTATTGACGTTAGGATTTGGTGGTGGATGTTTTTAAACCAATGGAAGCTAACCACAGATGATGTAGTTCATGAAATGTTTCTAGCCTCTTCTTGTCCCTGTCCACAGCAATTCACTGTCTCCAGATATTGTTTACAGTCATCTCAATGCCGTGACTACAAAACTTGGTCCCTCAAATGTTTGTCCCACTAAGCATCTGCTTATATAATGTCCACAGTCCACATAAATTGTTGAAAATTTAGGAGCAATTTGTGCTGAATCAGAAACCTGTAAAAGCCCACTTCCCAGTACTGAGGAGAAAATACTCTATATTTTGCAAAGCTTTGTCCTTCAAGTTCCTATATTTATATTTGTTAACAACTCTGTGTGCAATATTAACCTCCTCCCTCTCCCATAATAGTTGAGTGAATCATTTGTGTAATCATCAGATCCTTCAAGTGGTTCCCAGACAAACATGTGGTATGTACTCAAAATCCAGATGTGATGAAGCTCAAGTAGACTGCACGTGAATACTTGGTCTCAGATACTATTTTTTTCAAATGGCAAATTAGGGTTAACCTAAATGGCATTTGTGTTTTGTTTTGTCCTTTGCATGTTACCCCATACCAGTTCATGAAATCTTTCATATACAGGTAGATGAGCATGCCTTAGGATGAAATATATTTATTTGCTTAGCTGCTATTTTGGGGGGAAACACATTCTCATACCATTTAAAATGGTTATTGGTTTTGGAACGAGGTTTCCATTTTTGTCTGTCTTTCATCTTGTTGCAGTGGTTCTCTGAAGAGTGGACAGAGTCCAGGCAAAGGTTAGCACTTTTGAGGCCACTGATTTTAAAGAGAGAATTTAGCTTCTCCCTGGCTGCCCTTTATTGAAAATTAATGGGACTTAAATGTTTAGCACTGGTGGATCAATTCCTGTTGAAACATGATCATGGTTGTTGATGCTGGATCTAGGCTCTTCTGCAACCATGGTCTACAAAAATTCAAAAATCTGTTAATCATTGCTGTGGTACAGCTGCTCACTGCCTACATAAATGTCAGAAGCACCACAATAAATTACTATTAAGTACAGTGTTAGTATTTGTCTTAAATCCAGTACTAGCTACAAAAGTACCCTTATTACATAGTATTTCTTTTTTTAAAAGATCTAAATACTGTATATTGGAACCTGCTTGTAAAGATTATCTAAAACTTGTATGTAAAGATACTTTCTTCAGTGTTGCTTTAGTGAATAAAATTAATAATTCTGAGCGTCTTTTGTGTTTTAACTGTCATTGTCTGCATGTGTGTATTTTGGGTAAAGATGTAGGACATTTCTATTGTGGATCTTAATTTTAATATAATTTTGCTGCCAACTATTGTTAGAGAAAATCTGAGCTGTCGATTCTGCTTTCAGTTTGGTAAAGCATCAGATCAGAAATTTTTAATCAGAGTATAATTTCAGGTGGACAGTATAATAATAGAAAAAGTGGATTAGTAATGTCTTGAGATAACATCCCCCTTCCTCTCACACCTATCTCCATGTCTGTTATCAAAACTCCAGCTAGCTATTGAAACAGTTCCATTTCTTAATCCTGTTCTGCCCCCACCTCCCCATAGCCTTTGTCCCTGACTAATCACAGGCTTGCGTAAGATGCAATGATTATTGTGGGCAAGAGTGCCTGAAGGTTGTCATGAGCTTAATTTAATTTGCAGGCCTTGTGTTTCCTTGAAATATTTTGGCTTGATTTAAAGTTTATTACAAATATTTGACTTTGATTTAGTGATTATATTAAATCATTTTTATCATCCTGAGTCCAAGGTATTGTACATTGCAATTACTTTCCATATTAATGCAGGAGCTATTGCACAAGTTAGTTTCAGTTTGAACATACTTTAAAAAAAGAAGCTAAATGTAAAGAGCAGCCAATCCAATTTCCAGCAGCAATTGTAATTTAATAACTGCTATTTATATTGCAATAGCTTCCCTAAAAGATGTTTTAATATTGGCAAAGGGTCCACACTTGAGGTACCCCTCCCAGAGTGCTGATTCTTCTTTGCAACAGTTTGCAACGGTTATTATTATGTTAGTTTAACGTTCCTCTTAATATCCATTTTTAATATGAGTGTGGTGTTGCTGTTCTCTTGTGAGGGACAACCCTAAATGTTTTTGCAGAAGTCCCATAATCACCAATGGCTCACTAAAACATCTGGAAGTCCACAGCTGTCCGCTATTATCAGGTACATGTCATCAAGGCCATGAGAGCTGTGTCAAGTCAATAAACTAGCTGCTAGTGTAAATCCTACATTATTCAATATTTTCTGACATACGTATTATTTAACTGCTTGAAGTCTCCAAACTGTCATACATTGTATGAATTTAAATCCAAAATTGGGCAATAAATTTATTAAGACCAAATGAAAGGCCCCAACGTGTGTATATAAAAGAGTGTGCAACTTGAGTTGGCCCTCTTACATACTTCTGCTTACCTATATTTTTTTTTTTTTGCTTCTTTCCTCAGGGATCAACTTGGTTACCTTTACTTGTATATGTTAAAGAATCAGTTCCCTAGGTCAGGGGTTGTCAACCCCTGGTCCATGGCCCGGTGCCGGTCCGTGGGCTTGCTGGAACTGGGCTGCAGATATGGATCTCCCCCCCAGCACACATGCATGGTGGGCATGTCACACTCGCACAGAGGGTGTGTCACCCTGTAGTGGGCGTGTTGCACTCATGCGGTGGGCGTGTTGCACCTGCATGCTAGCGCAACATGCCCACCACATGGGAGTGCCCCAACCCCTGTGCATGGAGCTCGCTCCCCCCCAACCGATCTGTGGCCGCAAAATGTTTGGGGACCACTGCCCTATGTAACAAAAATATTGATGATGATTACCAAAATCTGAAGTTTCATGAAGAGCTGACACTTCCTTGCTAAACCTTCTGAGAGGCTGACTACATGGGCTATTTAGCCCACTGTTTGGAGTACTGTAGGCATGGACTGTTGTGCTCTTACATCTTTGCTAGAGGGCACCAGGCCTCCCCCAAAGAGAGGGAAAGGTGCCTACACCTTTCTGGCCTCTGTCAAGAGGCTTTTATTTTTTTAGTGCAGTTAGGATTACTCTGGTTTGGATCAGTTCGAGGGCGTGATTGCTGGAATTAATCAAAAACAAGCCCTCTTCTTTCAATTTGTCAATATTGTGACATGGATAAAAGAGCAAGCAAATTAATCACTTCCCCTGCTTAGCAAATTCTAGATTATCACTGATGCACTAAAGCATCCATAAAACAATTTAAAATAGTTTATTTGACTTGCTTTAAAGGATCAGTTAAGAAACCGCCCATAGTTGTGTGGTTTCTGTGACTTTGGCTGCAGGCAGTTTTTTGACCGGCCCTTTAGACACGGGGTCATGAAGTGTTTTCTGTGGGGGTTGCCATGGTTATTTTTAGTTGCAATTATTTTTATATTCATTATATTAAATATGGTATATACAGTGCTGTTTTATGTTAATCCTCTTGGCTCACAGATGGATGATTTTAATTTGAACCATAATTGCAGGCAACCTGGAGTCTTTAGTTATTTCTTGTACCCCTTCGGGCAAATTTTCCTTTTATGCATGCACATCACTCCTGCTGCCTCCAAAAGAGCCATTCTTGCTTGTTTTTCTGTTCTTTCACACCCACTTTTGGAAGATTGAAATCGGCCCTTCAGATCAGAGCATCAGCCTGGCTCAAAGAGGCCTGGATGAGACAAGCACACTGTGCACGTTGAGAATGCTGACACCCAGGATGGCAGCTGGATTGAAAAGTTGCAGTGGTGCCTTTCACTTTACTTGTGTCCCTAGCTATTTTGGGTGTGGCAATGGCACCACAGTGAAGGGAGAGGGGGGACCTGGACAGGGAGATGCCTCCGCACTCTGCCTGAGTCATGGAGGAGGAAGGCAAGGGGGGCAAAAAGGTGAGGGAGGAGAACCAGGGAGGGCTTGGGGCATGGACCGAGGCCTGTGTGGAGATGTTTATTTGGGTTTGAGGGAGATGACCTCTTAACTGCAAGGGCTTTTTGTGGGGGAGGAGACATGAAGGGGAGTTGTTTCCACATCCTAAAAAGTAAATTGAACTCAAAGTGCAATAACATTTTTCCCTTCTCACCTATCTGGTAGACGCAGATTTATAGGTCCCCAAAATTATGTATTGTTACAGTAATATTGATATAAAAGGGGAGAATTATATTCTGAAATCTATTTTAATGTGTTTTCAATACTCAGTTATATGCAAATGTGGCAAGGTGCAGTCATAGATTACTTGGCTATTTATAAAAGAGGCTCACCTTGGGGGAAAAAGGTTGGGAAAACACTGCTTTAAGACAAGGCAGATTTTTACTATTTATAAAATAAGCTCACCTTGGAGAAAAAAAAAGCTTGGGAAACACTGCTTTAAGACAAGGCAGATTTTTTTTCTAATTTTTTAAAATAACCGATGCAACACATCAGCAACACATAGCTTATATACAGTCAAATTTTGTTTTTCACTTCCGCTGCCCTCTACTGAGCAGGGGGAGTGATTAATTTGCCAATATCCTGAAGGTGGCTCACTAAGCTACTTCATGATATTGGCAGGAACGATTTCCACATTGTGCTGCTTCTGTATGGAGCCTTCTCGGTGATCTATCTAGAGATACTAGTTCAAGCCCAACTGTATACTAGCTTGCTTTCTGCTGCTAGTGTACCCGTATCCTGAGTGCTTCTCCATAGAATGGTTCTGGGCTTTTCATAGGAAAGGGAGGAAAAACGGTTTTCATATAAAGTGAGTGTTAGGAGCAGAGGGTGATATCTGCTCCCTACTCTACTGCTTTATGTTCTGCTTTTTAGTTCTGTATATGTAAGTCGTTCTGCAAGAGTTGTTTACTGCTTTAACTTCTGGTTTCTAGATACCAGTGGGTGCAAAAAACCAAAAATGTAAGTTAGGATGGAATGGACCAGATTTTGTTTGAGTCACAGTAAACACAAGTGTAAAACAACAACAAAGATTATGTTGGTAGCAGTTGAAGATTGTTCAACACTGACTCAGATTGTTGAACACTGACTCAGATTTTCAGCAGTTAACTAATATCTTGGAATATGGATAAGAACACTGGCAAATGCAGACCCAAGGCAGAAAATAGACAAATGAATCTTGGTTTTTTGTAATTGAGAATTCCAAGTGATAACATATAAGTGGTTTGGGAAGTAGCAAGCTATCTCTTACAAATCTTACCTTTGATGGATGGAATTAAAACAAATGATGCATGTTTCAGAAGACTGCATATTTGGCATAGATCCAAAACCGGGTAGTAAATTTTTTGCCCACTTGAGGGAGGGGGAAGATGGATTTTGTTCTAACTAAATCAGTTCATACAATGCCAGATGGCTTGCTTCAAATCACAGTATATAGCAGTCATTCATCAGCATTTAAAACCTTTTCATTTCCAAATGTGAGGCCTTCGTGTGATTTAGCATTATATCAGTGCTGTCCTGAGCAGTGTAAAAACATTAGAAGGTTGGGATATCAAGTTTTAAAGACAAGTAAATTCATAAACATTCTGTCCTGGGAACAAGATTAATGAATAATGACTTCCTTGACCAGGTGCACTACATTGTTCATTCAGTAATCATGAACAGGCGGAATAGGTTTGTTTGACTGAAATCCATTTAAAGGAGGAGGAGGAGGGAGTGCACTATTTTTTTTAGATGTGTCTCAAGCCAAGAGGCACCTTCTTTTCTCCTAATCAAAGGTGGGGAGGGGAAGTAAGGCAGAAGAAAATGGTGTCTTATTGGGGGGGGGAACCATACCTTGCCCCTTTTAGAAGTATGCAATTCCTTGTCACTATAACAAGGTGGGCAAGATTCAGAGTGGTATGATCTATGCTGAAAGACTGTAGAAAGACAGAACTAGGATCTCTAGATCTATCACCCAGATCCTGGTGCAAAACACATACACTTAGATTTTTTAAAATTAACTTGTTGTCATTACATGCCATCAAATTACTTTGGATTTGTGGTACTGCTATGAATTGGCATCCTCAAAAAGGTCCTGTTGTTAACAGCCTTGTTGTCTTGCAAACTCAAGGCTATGGCATCCTTTATTGAGTCAAAAGCATTACTTATTTGGTCTTCATCTTTTCCTGTTGTCTCCAGCTTTTGCAGCATGATTGTATTTGCAGGAAGTCTTGTCTTCTCACAACGTGGCTAAAGTCAGACATGTTTGATTTAGTCATTTTTTGCTTATAAAGAAAAGAGAATGCC